GCTGTGCTTTTGTGCAGACAGGAGCTTACCTGGGAGAGGAGTGAATCCCTCCTCTTTGCACTACCTGATGCATTTGGTGGCACGCTGGTGCCGTGGAGTGCTGTGCCACGCTTTGTACCTGGCAGCGTGGAGCACTGAATGCTCTGTGTGATGCACGAGAAGCTGATCTGAATGTCTGTTAGTTTTGATATTGAAGCTGCCAAATATCCTTCAAAAAACTTTTGTTTTTTAGTTTAGTCTTTTGCTGATGCAGCAAAAGAAAAGACCTTGCTTAAGGGTGGCTTGCTAGAAGTCTTAGGTGGTAAAACGAAATGGTTACCGGCAGCAAGTCATTACAAAGTGAAAACAACTGACCATTGAGGACGTCCTTGGTCCTCTTCTGCCTTCCCTTTTCTCTCAGCTCCCGCGCTGTGAAGCGGAGCCGCTGCCAAGCCAGGCCTTGCGCGTGGGGCGGCCGCGTCCCTCGCGTCGTGTCCCGAGCGCAGCAGGATGGGGCCTGCCGTGCGCGAGCCGAGGCACCCTGGCCGCGGCTCTGCTCACGGGGTGGTGGCAGCCTCTGGGGCCATCACGGTAGTAGCGGCTCGCGTGACTTATGAAGCTCTAGGTAACCACAGGTGTGACAGGCTCACGGGGGAAGTGATTTCTAAGATTCCCTTCTGTTTCAGGAACTGAGAAACAGATCTACCAAACTGTATTTGAAAGGCAGGAGTTTCAGTCAATGCTTAAGAGATTTTCTATAAATTCTCAGGGAAGGACAGTTTAAAAGCTAAATAACCTTCTTGGTTGATCTGTTGTGTACCACTTTCAGAGGAAGCTAAACTGTACATATCTGTGCTCTGAGAAGCCCTTTGTTTCCTGAGTGTTGCGTGGTAAAGGCCAAGACTGGGAACCTGGCATCACCTTCCGTAGGAAGCTGGGTTAGTGAATCGTATTTATGTGGAAGAAGCAATTTATAAAGCAGTGGGTTTGTGTGCAGAGGTTAGCAGTCTGGTGTAGTGAGGTCGAGTCTCTTATAGAAGCTAGGGTGCATACTCACTTCTGCTGCTAAGCAGGAATTATTGGAAGGAATTGAGGAAAAACTGCAAGTCACAGATTAACTTGATCAGTTTGGGGATGGTTAAGGATGATCCTAAGGGGTCAGAGGGGACCGATCAGGGTGTCAGTGGCCTGGAGCTGATCGATGACCAAGATCTTAAAAATAAACCTGCAAGTAATCCATGGAGTAAAAGGCTCGGGATGCAGTTAACAGCTAGCCAACGAAGGAGTACACTCTTATGGTTACCTTGCACGGTGTGACAGCAGTTACCAGGCTTATGCCTATAAAAATTGTCTGCAAGAAACTGAGCTTCAGAAAGGGGGGCAGTGCTGGCAGGAGGAACGTGCTGAGGTGCTTTTTCACCAGCACTCCCCCTGCGTGCCAGGCTGCTGCACTGAGGTATTTGACTTGCAGAAATCCAAGCAGGAGAAAGCTTGGGACTCCAAAGTTTGCCAAACCGGTGAAGTGCGTTTGCAGGCCCGCCGCTGAATGGATAATGCTGATCCACTGCCAAGTTCACGGCCTTGGCCATCGCGTGCCAAACGCTGGGTAGAACAAAGCGCTTCTGTGACGGGGGGGACTGTGGAGACCTTTGTTGCAGGCCTCCTGGGCGAGCAGCTGAGGCCCTTGTTGATGCAAGCTCCCTCCAAGCGCTGCGTATGGGCAGTGAGAACGTAGCCTGGTGGCTGGGAAACGAATGTGTGAAGCGGAGGAGCCCAGTTTGTGGCCCCAGTGCTGCCGTACTGGGGCTGGGCCGTGTTGAGTAAACAGGGAAGCGGCACCTTTGGCCTGGGAGCGAGGGATGGACTTGCTTGTAATGTTTTGTTTCTGTCAGCTTGGCTTTGTGTCCCGGGCTAATGTAACTGCTCAGGAGCAAACCTGGCTGGGAGAAATAACCGAGCTCTACTCAGTTAATGCTGAATCTTAATTTAAACTCAGTGCTGGGAGTACTTTGCTGAGATTCCTGCAAAGGCTGCTTTCCTTCGGGTACATGATTGATGTGCAAATATAATGTGCCATTTCAGTTCTAACCTATCTTAACAAAGCTGCAACATTAAAGTTCCATTGAACTTTAAGAAACGTGTCATTTTCTGTGTTTGTTAGGCATTTTGTGCAACACTGACACAAACTGAACATGTAAGGAGACAAGTTTCATGATGTATGTAATACATGATGTAGTGTTTCCCAGGCACACGGTTATGTTGAAAGGTAGCTAGAAAAATATCAACATCCCTTATTAAAACACTTCAGGAAAGACAGGTTGCTAGGCAGAATTGTTTTATTTTTTTGTTTGTTTTACATTCCATGTGTTCGCAGTCTCCTAAACGATAGCTCAGAATTTAGAGATAACAGATATCTTGTTCTTCTGAAATGACACTTTTAAGTAGTCGCGCACTAGCTGATATATAACGAGCATATAATAAACAAGAAGGAACTTAAAGGTATGTGCTGCTGTGGAATTTAGCTTCCAGCTGTAGTGATCTCCGGAAACACTCTGAGATACCCTTGCATTACCTAACTTTTTTCCCCCAACTTTCTAATCTTACTATCTTTTTGTTTTGTTTATTTTTTTTAATAAAATTGAGTTTTTGGTTTTCTTGTTAAAATTCCTGTGTTTTCAAGCTGTTTATATGCAAAAGAGTGCCTTATTGCAAAACTGAGAAAAATAACTTTTAATGCATTCAATGCTGTTCAAATGCAGAAATTATACATATGTGGCTCACAAACTGAGAAATGTGACCTTTTTTATGCATATTTTCTGGCACTCTTAGGCATAGCTGGAAAGAATCTGTGTGCCTCTGAAGACAATCTAAGCAGGAATAAATAAGAGCCCATCCTGAGGGGCTTTGGTGTTTTGTGGCAAAAAGGCTAACTCTAGAATTGTTACAACCAGGAACTTTCCCTGTCTTTTCTTTTCTTTTTTTTTTTTCCCTTTTGTCCTTTTATTGGTTCTGACTTACCTTGTCCTTATGAGTAACTAACCGACTCCCCCTTTAAATCCGTGTTGAGAAGACGCATCCTTTGAAGCTATCATTCCCTTTGCCTGTGGTGTTGGCTTTGCTTGCCTGTCCAGCTGTTTATCTAAAAGATACCCTCAGATACCCACTGGAGTAAGCAAGCCCTATGATGTGTCTGGACCTGGCAATTGATATTAGAGTGGCTAATACTTCTGGCAGCAATTATCAGCTAAGAAGGTCTAATTGTGGCATGGGTAAGCTGCAGGGCTCAGACTGCAAAACGTGCTTTGGATTGTGTTCTCGGTGCTCTAATATTTGCTGTTAGCAACGCAGAAGTAATGGTCCTGGGTAGGAGGCAGAATTGCTAATTGGGCTCCTTCTTGGTGCATGTAGGACTGGTGCCTCTTATTGCAGGATTTTTCCAAAGCTTCTTGCCTCGAGCTGTCCTTATGAACGTCTCTTTCTGAGCTACGGAAAGTATTTTAATTATGTGCTTCTAAGGGATATTGCTATCATGGTATTTCATGGTTGAATAAAGTTGTCTGATATACAAAATCTAAGCGTGTCTGACTTGCTTGGTTGTGCAACAATTTGGAGAATAGTTTAGCTATGTATTAAGCAGTAGGGGTGAAGTAGTATTTTGCAGAGACACTCAGATAATTAAAAGATAGAGAGAAGACTAAATTTAGGACCATTCCCCTGGTCACAGTGAATAATTAATAATGATGGCAATGATGTAAACGGAGTTTTGCTGTGTTTGAAAAGCACCTTCTGGCTTTTTGGTTTATGACAGCTATTTGCTGGTTGTGTCAGTTCTTCTACTGTTTGTGCACAGAAATAAATCCATTCAGCTCTGTGCAACTATTTGCAAACTTAGGGGCTTGGCATCAGTCTGTCATAAAGGTATGCGAGATGGAAGCTCCACTTTAAATTCTGTTTTATATAGGGAAAAGGATTGCTTGTATAAGGAAAGACAAGTGAGATTGGAATAGACAAATTTTAGGTTGTGTGTTGAGCGAAACATTGTAACTTGCTGCTGTACTCTCAAGTTGTGATTTAAGGTGAAAGATGTAGAAATATTTGTGCCGTGAAGAGACAGTGCTCCATATTAAAATATTGAGATATCCAGCTTTTAACAGAAACTGTGACTGATGAGAAAACAGTGAAAATATTTTGTTCTTGCTTTGTGCTTACCAGAAGTTGACCCCTCTAACATCTTCAGTAGCTTGGATTTCCACCTGGAGCGTTTCCAAGCCCCAGGTACATGTTGCCCCTTGCATGATTGGGAGTACAGAGGTGCCTCAGCTTAAGCTGCTAACTGTGCGTGGGATGATATGTAGGTTTCACTTGTGTGACATCCTTTCAGCTCTTTAGACTTTTGACATTGTGAAGTTTGTTCTTCATAACAGATTATTATTTTTTAAATAACGCAAGTTTCTCATTACTTGAATGAGAACTTGTGCGTCTTACAAAAAGACGCAAGCAGATTTGGAAAACAAAGATTATTTGAAGTGTTATTTTCTCAGTATTACTTGAGATGAAAAAAAAAGATTTTAAAAAAAATCTTGAGCATAATGTTGTTTCCAAATACCCTCTAAATTTGTAACTTCAAGTAAAGGATGTGTAGCTGGTCTCACAATTTTTTTATCGTGTCTTTTTAAAGGACTTAGATTTGCTTATGATTAGACAAGCATATTTGCAACATAGTGCTGTAGTGTGTAGCTTGGCATAGTTTCACATTAAAAATATCTCTAATGGTTATTGATTAGTGTCTGAATGTCTCTAGGTTTGCTTTTGGGGTAGGCATAATCTTTTTGCAGATTCTTTTTGTGTACATTAAACTGTCCTCAAAGGCAGCATGTTCTGCACAGGCCACAATCCAAAGTTACTGCTTATGCTTCTAAAATTTTAAAAAACTTTTTTAATGCTGTTAGACTAGTTTGCTGCAACTATCTAAAATCCAAGAAAGTAAATCGCCCAATTTCTTCTTTGCCTTGTAGCATACCTCTGTGGATGGGTACACGGAACCACATGTCCAGCCTCTCAAATCAAGTAGCAGACAAAACATCCCTCGATGTAGAAACTCAATTACATCTACCAATGAAGAGCACCCTCACATTGGGAATTATCGCTTACTGAAAACGATAGGGAAAGGAAACTTTGCCAAAGTGAAACTGGCAAGGCATGTTCTTACTGGAAGAGAGGTAAGCCTTTCAAAACCAAAAAGCACTTTACGTACTCTTTGACTGTCTTTGTAAATGTCTCTGCCGTTGTTCTTAGCTTAGTCTTCAAAATACACATAAAAAAAAAAAACCACTTTTTTCATCACAGAGTAAGATGCAAAGAGAATGTTTCAGGATAACCAGTTTCATTTATCTGATGAGGTTTTTCCCCACCCATCAGAAGCTACAATGTAACTTCTTGGTGAGGGAGATCCAAAAGTTTGCGACAAAGCAGGGTTTGGTTGGCCGTTTTATTCTGGGGTTGGGGTGGGATTCACTGATCCCCAGGCATTTCCAGAACCAAAGGAAAACTCTTGTCAGTAGAAGCCCATCAGGTTTTAGCGGGAGTGGATTTGCACCAGGCGGGGTAACATTGTTCTCTCCACAATGCTGGCAGAAATGTAAAACTGGCTCCTTATAGTTACCTCCAGCAGCAAAGTCCTGAGCTGCTGCTGGCACATTCTAATAAGTGAGAAATTTAGGTTGATAAATGTTATGGCCAGGTAGACCAAAAAAGTATATATATACAGATTGCATGCACTTATATAGTGTGTGTGTGTGTGTTTTTTTTTTTCTCCCCCCCCCCCCAGATATCTAAAATATATTTTTTAGCATTTTTGAGTTTAATAATCTTTTTTTTTTTAAGGTTGCTGTGAAAATAATAGATAAAACCCAACTAAATCCTACTAGTCTACAAAAGGTAAGAACATAGCATACCATCTAAAATTCTGTTACGTTAATCTATTACCTTTTATTTCCTTGATTTAAAAAAAAAAAAATCTTTCAGCCCTTCGCCTTCATAAGCAAACTTCTTTATTGACTATGTATGACCTTGGGAGGCAGAGTGCCATCATAGCTGTAATGTGCATCTGCGCTTTGTTTTGAGAGCAGTTTCTCTATACAATTCCTAGCTAATAAATTTAGTGGCTAATTAAGCACACAAATCATTTGTCTGCATTCTAAATTAAGATGCAACCCTGTAAAGAACAGTTTTTCTTGTTTTTTCTTTAATGTAATAATTGCTTTTTGTCAAGTCGTAAGGGTGCCAGTTTTAATGGCTTTAATGTGTTTTTTCTGCTTTGATTTTGTATTTTTTCAGTTTTAATAAGATATTTGCTAAGCTCAAGGGACCTTTGACAGTTATGCCTTGTGTATAGAACTGAAGAAAAGGCTGAAGGTGGTACAGAAGTTCTGATTTCTCCCTTACACGTTAGTGTCTGTAGTTAGAAATTCAGAAACCTTTATAGGTGTTGTGGTGTTGTGAGAAGTGTTTACCGAAGATGGGGCAGCTCAGAGCATCTGATTTTACCAAAACCCTGGTGTTTGGTTTTATTTTTGTAGCTTCCCCCCTTCACACACTCACATACACAATTTATGTACGCATATGTTTTGTTTTTGGCTGAGGAGCTGAGGAATTGCTTTGTCCTACATGTACAGGTTGTGTTACCAAAAAATTGGGAGTGTCTTTTTTGCATACAGATATTAGTCTGCTGCTGTCTCTAAGTATAGAATAAGAGAAGGAAAGGGTTTTTTTTTTTTTTTTTCTGTTCTCTCTGGCTGCTGTTGCATTTATTTTGTGGCTTGGGTTATGGGCAACTAAGAACAACTTTGATGGCTATATATTTTTTGAACTATCATTTCTTGTGTGCTTTTTTGTTTCTCTGTGGGTTGTTGAGGCTGTTGTTAAGTTCAGCTTCTCGTGAAGAGTCCGTGCAAAAGCCTCCTCATGCTGGAATTAACTCCCAGCTTTGATTGAAGCAAATCTCTTTGCTGATGGTTATTGAGCCAGTGAAGAGGGGCTTGTTGAGGCTGTGGTGACAGACTGTACTTTGGAAGTCCTCTGTTCATGTAGCTTGGTATTTCATGGGAAAACCAGATGAATTTGTCTATTAGTAACAGGGCAAAAGATGTGCTTTGCTTGTGTGTGTTTGGGGGGCGAGGTTTTTGTTGTTGTTTTTTGTTTTCGTTGCATGACCTTTTAATTTTGTCCTCCATATACATCCTTCTGGCTATTTTCTGTGCCTCTTTACATGGAAATGGACATTGTGCATGGAAATCTGCAAAAATACTTGTGAAGTCCTGAAATTCTAATTTGGTACAAATTCATGAGAAGCAGTTAGTAGGAAAGAAAAGTTGAACACAAGTCTTTGCCAAAAAAGGGATATTTTTGAAGCACTACTTTTAAAGGATACATTAATGCCCTGTACCTGATTTCTGCTTTTTAAATCGTCAAGTTATTTCATTTGCATGTCAAAAAAAATCCAGAATAATATGGATTACTTTGTATTCAATGAGCCGTGTTTTAGCTTGCACCCTGCGCTAACCCTTGCTAGGGTACGTGAAAGCTCCAGTGCTTCAGCTTCTGCTGCAGTTCAGCTGCCTTTGAGCTTGGAGCTTGTGTGTTAGCATGGAGAAAATGAATATTCATTGCAACTGAAACAAAGATTTAGTGTGTTAGAACTGTAATGCTCTTTTGACACTTTTCTATTAACCACTCCACAGAAAGACTGAGGTATTCAAGGTTAGGTTAAACCTGTAAAACAACAAAAAAGTAAGAAGTCATTACATTCATGAGGTGTGATGCAGCTTGTCCTTTCCTTTGAAAGACCCAAAAAAGCACAAACTTCAATGCAATTAAAAGAAAAATCAAAATTTTATCTTAATTTCATTTATTTTTGACTTCCTCATTTTTATGAAAGCCATATACTTCGTGGCATTATCAGAATTTTTCACAAAGTTAAACTTTCTGAAATACTAAGCATGCAAAACTTAATTCTGGGATAAATGTTTTAATAATAAATAAGATTTATTTCACAAATTATCCAGTAATTAGTGAAGAGTTATTCCAAGAATAAATGGAATCTTTATAAGCTACAAAAGATGCAGTCACATTGCACAAGTAATATTTTGTATTTACTGTACCTGGGCCTTTACATGGTCATGTAGTAAGACAGTACTGCCCTTTGCTCCCTTGTGACTGGGAAGCTGATAGCAAGAGGAGCTCTTCAAGGTGCACTTAGAAACTTGTAGAGAAGTAAGGACCAAAGCTAAATCTGATGCTACTGTGGGTTCAGCAACCTTCTTTAATAGCTTTATTCCATGCAGCTACTGCGTATGCTGGAAAACGTGCTTAGCTGCTGGTATAACATTTTCTATTCTAACATTTTGACTGTAACTTCCTCCTTTTGCTTTGAAACTTTAAATGTCTGCTATCAGCTCACACATGTCTTCAAAAATGTTGAGTGGAACTGAATTTTGCTTCCCTGGAAGCTTTTGAGTAAGCATAAGCACTGCCTTTGTGTACTCAGTCAGGCAACTCGCACTTGCTAAAGTAAGTTAGGGGTGGGAGGATAGTTTGACATTTGGATATACTTAGAACTGTTTTTTAGAGTAGTAGCTTCTATTTGTATTTTGATGTCTCTGTTGTTATCATCAGGGTTGTACTCCGTACTTTTAAAGAAACAGAAGATACTTTTCAGCCTTCTAGGTTGTTGCATTTGCCCAGGGAGGTTTTGGAAGTGGGAAGGTAGGTTCTTTTATTGCTTCTCCCAGATTTAGAACTCTTAGGTGGATGTTTTTTATCAAGAGATAGTGTTGGGAAATACCATGCAGTAATAGTAGAATTGTTGCAATAAGAACACGCCCTTTTGTGATGAGTGTCGGCCGGGGAAAACTGAAGTGAGCCAGTGCCATAAATAATGCCCCCCTTTAGTTTTGGACACTTCTGAGTAGACCAGTTGTGGCTGCAGCCTGCAGAGTTCGGAAGCCTGGAAATTCTGCACAGATCAGCCTAACTTTTAGACTTTCAATGATTTCTTGACACACACTTAACTAATTATCATAGATTTGTAGAGATCTTGTGCTTTAGGAATGACCTTGTGCCTTTCTCCTCAGTATAAAATAAAGGATGCCCAGACCTTGTTGGTTTTGCTTTGGTATAAATAGGTAAAATGAGCTGAGGCCTTAGAGCTGTGCCCGTAGTGCTCTGTTTTGTAAACAGAAATATCTGAATGCACAGTTCAGTTGCTTGGAGGTGTCGAGTGGGACTGCAGTTAGCCACGGGTGTGAAAGCAAATTTGATTTGTCCTTAGCTGCTTTCCAGACTTAAGTGGCATACCTTGTTAACAGATGTCATACGGACGAGTTACTTTCCAGTCCTAATTATTTTAATTTAATGCATTCAAATATTAGGAAAGAAGTAAGCCAACTTCCCGAATTTTAAAATTGACTTTTGCTTCAGAGCCTCTCCGTCTTTAAGTAAGCAAATCCATAGCAAATTAAGGACACTCACTCCAGTCTTCTGTTTTCTAATCACTGGGTATGTGGTCTGCCACGTATTTAGCAAGCACCTGGTTAGGAGACAGAATTGGCTTTATTTTGTGGGATTTGTCCTGATAGCAACACACGGTACCAACTCAGCTTTTTGTGTTGTTGCGATTAGAGCTTTTGCCAGGTCTAAGCAATTGCCATCATATCTTGAATTTGTATCAGAATAGCTGTTGTCTTTTCTGCGTGTCTGCTGTGTCAAACTATTGCCATGTACTGGCTTCACTAGCAGTGCTCCTGGAATAGATGGTCCATTCCTCTTATGCAGATTGCTGGTGGGGCAGAAGGTGCTTTTTTTTTCTTCATAGGTTTAAATATGAAATGGCATTTGCAGATTTCCCCTTTTTTGGGGGCAGAAAGGATAGGGGGTGGTCAGCAGGTTTCTTTGTATTTTCTTTAAATGTATCACAAGCCCAAAATTTAGGTTCTTTGTGTCATTGAGAAAAACAGAAAAAAAGTAAATTGGGGAGTAGGACTAGATGATATCCAAAGGTCCCTTCCAACCTCAACCATTCTGTGATATGGAGCAATTTCACTACTCTTGCCTGCTAAGAGCTGTGTTTTTTTTTTTTTTTTTTTAAGAATCCTTCTGAATAATGTTTCATGACCTAGAGAAATACCCAAGTCCAAGTGCTTCAAAGAAATAAAAAGCCTTAATTGTCTGGCAAATTCCTAGTTTGATTGTAATGATTTAAAATCGTAAATCTTAAATGCAGATGTCAAATTGACAGCAAGTAGAAATGTCAGCAATGAGGGAACAGAAAATCTTTCTCTCTCCAGTCTATACGTTGAAAAGAGAAAATTCCCAAAGCAGGGATGGCATTTTCATGTTGTGCAAATTCTGTTGAATGAGTGCCACCCTGGCTGTCCTCAGCTATAGCTCTTGAGACCACGACCTGTTTGCACTTGTGCAGGGACTTTTGGAAGGGCAGCACTTTGAGGGTGAAATGCAGTCTTAATACATGTGTGGCAGGGGCAAAACAAAAACTCAGAAGGTACTTTGACTTTTTGAGAGAAGTGGTGCCCAAGAAAATATGGGTATGCCTGAATGCTGAAAGTGCTCTTTCTTATAGCAGTAAGTGCCATATAATTATGCAGCTTTACTAATGGTAGCAGGAGAGAGAGCTAGTTCCTATATTCTGTCCAGATGTATACAAAATTAATAAGGTTTTCTTAGCAGGAAATAATTATGGTATTGTCGCTTTAATAAATCTCTACTGTGGTATTCCTCTGTATTCAAAAGTACCATTGAGGGGCCTAGTGAATTTTACTTGGAGAAATCTCCATTTGTGAATATGTAGTTACTGACACAAATAGTGTTAATGGCCAGAACTCCTATATTTTTCTCTCTCTCCTAGCGCAAGTTTTAATACTAAAGTAATGCAGATGTCATTCCATTTGGTTATTGTGTGTGTGGATAAGTGTCACCTAAGGCAATTTCTCCTGCTCAGGCCTTCTCCAGCTTTTGCTCTGGGTACACGTGAACAGATTTTGACTTGCACAAAGTTCCTCAGTGGGAGGGAAGAGCCCCAAAGCCATCCCCACACCAGGAACGTTTTCCCCAAGTCCTTATTATGACCTCCCTCGGGTTGTTTAGAACTTACCTTGGAATATCTCCTTCCTTTTAGAAAGCAGAGGCAGTCAGCTTCCCCTCTTGACATACATGTAGGACTACTAGGACCATGCACCTGCTCAGGTCTTGTTATCATAATAGTGATTCAGTATCCTACTCAGAAGGATATGTAATACAGGATCTAGTTTAATTACCAAAAGAGAGGCATTTGTATAGAATATACCTAGAACCATATTTTGACTCCTGGTGGTGTTTGAATATTACTGTTCAGCGATGTTAAAAGTAATGGTTTAATTCATGTAGTGAAGCATCAGGCTAAAAGTCAGTAATGTTCTGTTTAAAGAAAAGAGACATTTTTGCTTGTTTCTTAACAAGTCCTTTCCTTTTTGGAAGAAAAAAATATGCTTATTATGTGGAACTTGTGAAACCAGTTCTTCTTCAATTCTTCTTGTCACTGTGAAATCAATTTCAATCCTAAACCAATTAGTAAAATTCCAGACACAGTGGGAGTTTTGAGTAGAGCAATATACATAAGTTTTTGGAAATGATTACATGCTTCAACTTACATGTAAAATTGTATTTCTTAATGATTTCTTTTTCTACATTTGAAATGCTTTTTATTTATAGAAATCTAATATTTTAATCCTGCTTCTGAAGGGAAGTGCTAATTACACTAGATTTTTTTCCTAATGTTAATACTGTTAAGTTTATGAAGGATGTTGCTGATCTTCTGGTTTGAGTTAGTTTTGCACTCGCCTGAATGTATTTGAAGCTATTCTGAAGGTATCATACTGTACCATCAGCTGGTTCCCATTTGTGTAACTTCTGACTAATCGATACTCACTTTCCTGACAGACCTTCTTGTGCAACAAAATACAGTAGTGATGGCAAATTTTCCAGGGTATAGCTGGCTGTATGGCCAGACAAATGTATTTGTTAATTCTAGCACATAGTGTTATATGCCTGTGTATTACATCTTGAACATGAGGCCATGAAATAATGTGGCTTTCCCAGAGAAATCTTTTTATAGTGTTTATTTCCTTCTGAAATTGATTTAACAGCAATATAAAGGCAAGCAGGTAGTAAACTAGATCGAAATGCTTAAATAATGTGACTATTGACCTACAAGACTATTACTTTCTCAAAACCTGAATTATAAAAATATGCTGTCCTGTAGCCTTATCTGTAGAATTAATGCAGAATTTTAGAAATATGACTAAACAATGCAAATGGAGTGAAAAATCAGTGTTTGCAGCAGCAGCAGCAGCAATGCACTTTGACAAGGCTTCTCTTACAGAAGGACTGTAGGCCTAATGTGGTGTTTCCCAAATGGCTAAACATGCTGAAGCCAATGAGCTTTCCTTGCATTTCAGCATCCTACTTGAGCTCCAGCTGAAATACGGGACTGTGGAGTGTCCAGCGGTACTGAATGGATTTGGCAATGGGGATATGTTGTTCACTGAACTAAAAAAAAAAGAAAAGAAACCCCACAAGCTTAGTGGTATTGCCAGCCTTGAGTATAGGCTAACAGAACTGTATAAGCACTTTAGGTTTGCCTTGTTCCCTTTGAGCTCTTGGGTTAGTCGTGCCTCACTTATTTACTTACTTGGTTCAACCATGAATGCTAGAAATGCAAGGATTTTTCAATGTGTAATATCTAGTTTCATCTTTTCGTTTAAAAAAAAAAAAAAAAAAAAGGCATGAAAAGTATGTACTTAACACTGTAACTTTGTCCAGTGTCCAGTTCCTTTAAATTATATGACCAGGACCATTTGGCAGATACTCATCAATGCTAAAACTGCAGACCTTTATTGGGGAGGAGGGAAGTGTATTTTGTGACCCAAAACAAGTTTTGTGAATTTTGAGAAATGTGAACTGTCCTACCTCATCTCTATGGGGTGTTAGGATTTCTAGTGTCTAATCTATTCTTTAAATTGATGTATTAGATTATTTTCCCACACACACCGGTTCTGAACCTTGTACCCACAGTTCCGTACATATGATTACCAGTGGCCAAAAACATCCAAGAGAAGAAATGAAGAAATAGCAATAACTTGCTTGAATATTTATGGGCAGTGGTCAGAGACTCCTAAAACTTGTTATTCCACAAAGAATATAAAATTTACCAGAATCTGATTGTCCAAACCTTGTAAAATTAGTCTATTTTTGATAACTAGCTGATATAGTCCTAGCTATTATCAGGTTATGGTACTGCTACAGATTAAAGTTCCATAGGAAGTTAAGGAAAAATTTCTTAACAGTGAGGGTGACAAAGCCCTGGAACAGGCTGCCCAGAGAGGTTGTGGAGTCTCCTTCTCTGGAGATCTTCAAAACCCGTTTGGACGCAGTCCTGTGCCATGTGCTCTAGGTGACCCTGCGTGTGCAGGGGGGTTGGACTAGATGACCTCGAGAGGCCCCTTCCAACTTTAAGCATTCTATGATACTGTTGCTACTATGTAATGTATAGGATGATGCAGATTACATAATCTGGAGTTCACGGTGTGTTATATTTATCTACCCATTGGAATATGGTATGTTAATATTTGTGATTTATGCTATTCCTTTTCCTCTTACAAAGCTTACAAAGTAAAGTAACTTTTCCTCAGTAAACACTCTTTAAAAATGTGTCTTGCTTCCTTAACAGTTGTTTCGAGAAGTACGAATAATGAAGATACTGAATCATCCCAACATTGGTAGGAGTCCTATGTTTCTGCAAACTTTTTAACTGTTGACATTGTACCTTTTGGCTTTATTTTAAATGTGCACTGCAGCTATGCTTTTGTTGAACACTTTAGAAATAACAGGACAGTAAGCATTCAGTAAACACGTTATTTTTGCTGTCTGAAGCAGCTTGTGGACACTGCTTGCAAGCAAGAATTTTGCTCTTAGGGGATAACGCGTCCAGTCAAGGAAAGCAGCAACACTAAATAAAAGGTGCTGAGCGCTGTATGGTCATTTGAGGAGTAGATTTCCTCTTTTTACATTAAGAATTCTTCTGAGGCCAAAAATCAATAGTTTCTTAGGTGAAGCTAGCAAAACTCCCTTTAGCTCAGTCTAGAAAAGACTCTTTCAAACTGCTGTTTCCAGACAATTAGAATTACAAAGCATGTAATTTTCCCTTTCTGCTTTAGTTCTTTCCCCTGCCCCACAGCTTCAGGGCCCTACTTTGTGATGACAATTCTTCTGGCTGAGGAGGGCTGGACAGTCTTGTTCCAGAGACACTTAATGTTCCTGAATTGGCCAGAGGGCTTGTTGCACACAAGGTATGGACGAGGCATACGAGTAGTTACATGCCAGGCACTCCCCTTTTATCCCTTAAAGTGTTTGTTGCTTTTCCAGCATTCTTAGCTTCTGCCTTTGTTGTATTTTGGTGGGTAGTAGGGGTGGTTTTAAGTGCAAGTGGCAACTGTTGTAATGTGAGGAAAGTCTTTCAGTCTCTAACAGTTATGGTATCCACTCATTTTATAGTTGGTCAATTCCTCAAATTTCTCACTTGAAACGGTGTACTAGAGAAAGAGAGGAGGTCTGTATGATCTTAAGAAAGTCTGTGCCAAATTAAGCACTAATTTCAGCATGAACTTGTTTGTAGTGTGCATAAACTCCAAGAGAACTGTAAATTAATATGCCTTGTTATCAGCTGTGATTTAGAAATTAATTTGCCTTTTTTTCTCCCTTCAAAAGAACTCTAACCTAAAAGATGTCAAGCTTTCTCATGATTTAGTGTCATTGCTGGCAATAAATTATACTCACTTCATGAATAAGGCTTTTTTGTTTGTGCTGTGCTTTTGTCGCCTGCTGCAATCTTTTTCTCATTCACTTTTCTTGCAGTAAAATTATTTGAAGTTATTGAAACTGAAAAGACATTGTATTTGGTAATGGAATATGCCAGTGGAGGTAAGTGCATTCTTAATTTTGCTTTAAGGATAGGATAAGCTGAAGTATGGAAAAAAAGAAAAAAGAGTTGGTTGTGTGCCTGGGAACAGCTGGAAAATCTGAGGAATTTATGGTTAATGGGCCATTCCAGTTGGGCTTTTACAGGGATCCAAACCAAATTCTCTGGACAGACTTTTCTCTCCCTCACATAATGTTTTCTGAAGTAACCTGTTTGGCTTGGGCTTAAGGATAGCTGTGATTCTGACATTTATAATTGAAGCCTTGGGAATCAATCTGGTGCCAATTCTGGCAAAAACTCCACTCTGTATGTGTCTGCTGTACTTAGGCCCTCCTTCTGTCTTGAACATGTTTGTAAAAGCACTTCAAGGCGTAGAAGTAAGGGATTTGGGAAGGATGCTCAATAGAATCATAAAAATCACTACTGATCATGGGAGGTTGCTTATTGTCTGGATGGGCAACGTTGAGCCCCTGAGGGGAGCCCGGCACAGGGCTCCTGTGGGCCTAGGAAGGGCTGTTGGGACAGTGCAGAGGGGAGACGCTGAAAGGCTTCTGAGCAGCTTCATTAAAAACGGTCATACTGGTAAGTGAAACCGATAGAGATACACTGAAAATGTGTAGGAAGCTGTCTATTCTGCAGTGTGTTATACATACAACGTTATAATCACCATTCACTCCTTTTTTTCCCCTTCACTGTCTTAGTGCTCTTAAAATAAGGCTATAAAGGGCCATTGGAGAAGACTTAGAATGAAGGGCTTAATTCTTATGTATCCTGAATTATATGCCTGAAAAGAAATGTAAGCAGTAAAAAGGCTTGCTTTTTTTTTTTTTTTTTTTTCTCCTGACTGTTTCCATTACTCTCCTTTTTGAGAACAGGAAAGCTTGTTTTCAAGTAATACTTGCTTGTAATTGACAGTCAGAGATAAAACCTGGACAGTAGGACTGATGCTTTATCACTTTCTGGTGCAGGAGAGGTGTTTGACTATCTAGTTGCACATGGAAGAATGAAAGAGAAAGAGGCTCGTGCAAAATTCAGGCAGGTATGTAATTGATACTTACTCTTTTGTTTCTATATATGTGATATTTCATGTACACTTGAATGCACAAGCACTTTTGCTTTAAATAAAACTTTAATTGTTGTGATATTTATTAAAGCTGAAGTGGGGAAAAAAATCCCTGAGGATATTCCTAAGAATTACCCCAAAATAGTAATGAACTGGTTTAAATTCTTTTTAGTGGATGTTACGAAAAGCCTTTTTTTGTGTGTGTGCATGACTCACTTTAGGTGTCGAATGTTTTTAATATTACAGAATTTAAACAAATGTTTTGTCTGGAGGTGTTGATATGATTACATGCATGTTGCTGTATGATATCACAGTGTTTTGTGAAGGGCACTTTGTAACAGATTTTTATCTCCTTATTAAGAACTTTCTCATAATCTTTTTCTTATCCTGCTTTTAATTGTTATTTCAGACTAGTATTTTGTTATACATATGAAAAATGTATTTGTGAAAAAGTATATTGAAATGGTGTATTACGCATGCTAATATTTTAGAGAATGAAGTCTGCAATGGCATATTTGGAAAAAAAAAAAGTTTCCTCTTATGTTTGCTATTGGGTAATCTGCATTTAAAATAGGATATTATTTTATCAGTGTGCTGAACTAGGGCTATGTAGTTAATAACTTTTTGCATTTATAGTCAACTTTTTACTGAGAATTAAAATGCAGATATATCAGTGATGTGTTTTATGTGCTTATAAGTCATTGGGGGGAAAATAAAATGCCAAAGAACCACTAATTCTTATGCATCTGAGGATTTTCCAATTTCAGGATTTGAGCTTTTTAATGTAGTCTAATACTCTCCTGAATCATATCAGGAGACAAAAGTACTAAATAATATGTGCAAACCTATATTGTGACTCAACTGATCAGTATATTACTGATATCTTGTTTTTTTCAGATTGTATCTGCTGTGCAATACTGTCACCAGAAATGCATAGTTCATCGTGATCTTAAGGTAAGCTATTACTTTTTTGTATTTATTTTACTAATTGACATTGTAGACTCAATTTCATCCTGTATACTGCACATTGCCAAGACTCTGAATGCCTCAATCATGTAAATGAGAGAAATAGCACTTATATTTTACTCTCAAATTTCTGAAGCCCAGAAATAATGTGGTTTTACATGTTGGAACACGGGAGAGACAAGAATAGAATATGTGCTACTTTCATCCTAGTTTTGGCTTTAGGAAAAAGAAATGCTCTCCAGAGAATTATATCTGTTGGCATGCAAGTACCTACACACTGAAGCTGCAGAGGTTCAATGATAGCAGTCAACAGTGTTTAATTAAAATAATTTCAATTTTAAAAATGTAAAGCAAAATACATAAAGCATTCCATTCTTAATGTTCGTAAGAAATATCTGGATTTTTTAATGTGTTTAACTTATACCTTAGTGATTTATGCTTTGAATGTGTAACTTGGTCAGAAGAGAGAAACTGAAGGCGAACAAATGAGACTAAGGATTTTTGCTTGTTTGATGTTTTGGCTGCTTTCCAGTAGCTTTCTCTCTGTGTAAGCATACTAAGGCATGTCACATCGCAGAGCTCTGCAATGATAGTTGCAGAATAAGTCTCCAGTGTGACATTGTCCTTGTGCCAGACACAGATATCATTGACTTGCGCAGAAGATCCTCTTCCACTTACAAGGCGCCTTGCACTTTTACTTTGCTGTCTGCATGGCTGAAAGAAAATATTGATGTACATTTATCTGCAGAGTGGATGGGTGCTTCTCTGCACAGCTCATGGGACTGTCCACAACTGCTCTGCAGCACTTGCGCAAGTTCCCTTTCGCTGTCTGCTGCAAGTTCCCCGCTGCTTATCCCCATCCTTCCTGCAGCCGGGGGCGGCTCCCAGATGATTCTTTGTTTGCTCTTCTCTCTCCTGCTCTCGGAGGGAGCTATGCTAGACACGCTTGAAACGTTTGCTGTTCAGTGTGATTGAGAGCCAGGCACTGTCGCCAATGGAAAATTCATTACCCGAAGAAAGAAAAATGGGCTAAACTTCTGGGTTTGAGGATGTGTTCTCACTTCCTCTCTCTTTTCCAAGCATGGTGTGTCATCTCTCTCTCGCTTTAAACTCTCCTCATGGAGCTGGAGGAAGGGAAGAGGCAACTGTAAAGTTGCATCTCTACTCACATCTGTGCTGCTTTTATCCACGCTACAAGCCTTACCAATTTTCATTATCAGCACCTGAAGGCAGAGGTCTAGGGCTGCGCTGGAGATTTGATAAGCCTGCTTGTTTCCAACAGCAGGAAGGGTAAACTCCGTGAAGTGCAAGTTATTTCACAGTCAGCTAGGAAGAAACATAAGAAAAGTGTGGAAACTTGTCCAAACTTCCAGAAAACAGCAGAGGGGATTCCAACATGTTCTCGGATTGTGATGCACATAGCCTACTCTACCTCTTGAGTGACTGTTTATGCCTTTGTCTTTTCTGAATGTGTAGTTTGGGTTATTTGCTGTGCAGAAAAGCTGGGATTTTGTGTTTTCTTTTAAGTCAGAAACCTAAAAGCATGGAGTGCTTGGGTAATGCAGTACGGTTGAACTAGGAGGGTTATTGTCATTGTAGAGCAGCTGCACAAATACTGATGTTTTTACCACAAGGAAAATGAAGTCTTTGTGCAATAATGTAGAAGGCTGTCAAATCTGGAAAATATCTCTGTGAGGTAGTCTGTGGTCATATCAGCTGAAACCAGCTGAGATTGCAGGTCATGAATTGGGAAAATAAAGCATTTTTCAGCATAGCTGGCTCGTAAACAGGTGCTAGGTTTTACTTCTGGCAGAGAATAAATTGTGTTTCCCAGGTGTTGTCTTGATATACTGCTTGTAAATTGTTTCTGTTTATAGTCATTGAATGTAAGTGGAATTATTAAAGACAACGAAAAAGAGCATTAGTCATGTCGCACTCCCTTTATCAGTGACCAGTGCATTGTGTGCCTTTCTGATCCTGAAATAGGAGACTTGTTTTTTCTTCCTTGACGGGAAGAAAGTGCAGCGTTGTGTATCTGCTTGAGACAGGTTCAATTCTAAGTGCAGCATTCAGCAAGATCTGTCCATTTGTGCTCTAAAACTGATGTTTGGCAACTGCCTGAACCTTCCATGCCAGCAAATCAGCAGCCTGGGCCCAGTTAGATGTGAAGACATGGCGCAGTTTGGCCTCACACATTGTACAGCATCTTCCATTTTGAGAAATGTTAATTATATTCAGTAACTTATTTCTCTAGCCTCACTACTTTTTTGATCTACCCATGATCTTAACAGTAAGATCCTGTTCACTGACTGCAGATTCTTCAACACTTGATTCTATGTTTACATGAGATATTGCATTCACATGCTGATTGTTGCAGACATTAATATTTATATATATATATTTTGCATTGTGTATGAAAAAAGTGTAATTGAGAGTATATACATTAGTGATGTTATTGCTGAAGCAAACTAATGATAAAAGGGAGAAGATTTTTTGGCCCAGGATGCTAAGATAATAACACATAGCCTGAAGTGTTTCATCTTGAAAGCAGAAGAGATCTACTTTTAAAGTCTTAAATCCCTTTTAACCTCTGCTCTACCAAAATCTTAGAGGTTTGGGATTAGATTTATGCTCCTTAGCATCAGAAATTGCTGACAATTGCTGGCAGGCAGAAACATGTCAGATGCTGAACTTGTTATTCTGAGATGTCTAGATACTTGGTCTGAAGCTGAGCTTTCCACGTCATTTTGTCTAGGGGAAAAAAAAAATCTTAGTAGCATGTTCACCATTCAACTTTCAAATCTGCTTAGCTGATTTTTAATTTTTCTGTTTTCCTAGGTAAATATAGCCAATTTTCAATCTTTTCAATGGATTCAGAGGGATTAGTTCCTAGTGTTCAAGAAATACACTGGTGGCTAACTAAATCAGAAGAAAAAAAAATGATGCTTACTGGCAAGTGACATACTGCAATATTAATCTTTTTCTGATAAAAGAATCGTTCTTTTCCTCTTATTTTTCTCTTAGGCAGAAAACCTTCTACTTGATTCAGATATGAACATTAAAATTGCAGACTTTGGCTTTAGCAATGAATTTACAGTTGGTAATAAACTGGACACGTTTTGTGGAAGCCCGCCTTATGCTGCTCCTGAACTTTTCCAAGGAAAGAAATACGATGGTCCTGAAGTGGATGTATGGAGTCTCGGGGTCATTCTGTACACGCTAGTGAGTGGATCGTTGCCGTTTGATGGTCAGAATCTAAAGGTAGGGTTAAAATATGAAAGCTTGGCTTTTAACTTTCTTTATATCTTCTGTGTCATTAGTAAATTCACCTTTTAAAACTTTATTCTAAAGGAACTGAGAGAGCGAGTCCTGAGGGGGAAGTACCGTATTCCGTTCTATATGTCCACAGACTGTGAAAATCTACTCAAGAAGCTACTAGTACTGAACCCCATAAAGCGGGGTAGTTTGGAAGTAAGTGCTTTGATGTTCAAAAATAGTTTTTTCAGATTAAGAATGAAGAAAATACAATAGGCGCTTAAGATTTGTTTATTTTTTATGATATGTACTTTATTTTTGTCTTAGGGGCCCAAAAGTCTTAGGAAGAAACAAGGAAGCATCAGAGAAACAGTGCAGTTTGAATATAGAAGGTGTTACACCTGAAAGACTGACTTTAATTTCAGCAGACTAAAGTCTGTCATTTAAGAGCATTTCAAACAGCTCGCACTTGTTTCCATCCCATATTGGAGCTAATTCAAACATGTGGAAAGCAGAACAAGACTGTAAATATCTAGTGCTCGGAGCTCTTCGGAAAAACAGAAGCAGAAGTAGGCAGCACTGTAAACACTTTTGACAAAACTTGCGATTTCCAGCATGACTTCTTAAAAAGGGTAGTTAGAAGAGAAATAACTTTTAACTGTCACAGGAAACGGGTGCTTTTTTCATAATAACAGATAAATGCTAAGAGCTCTTTGAATGATGATAAGCTAATAATCATTAGTGAACTTCTTAGTCCTCTCTTTTCTGACAATGTTTTTCCTGAATAGCTGGAAAATTACCATATAAAAGAATTTCTGTGCCCATTAGCTAAAATCTATGGGTGTAGAGAGTATTTGAGAGAATCTGTGCATGGTTTGTGTCTAAGATGTTTAGTGTTTTAAAGGAGTGATTTTACTTAAGTTTGCTGCATTGGTGTGTACTTACTGAATGCCTCTGGAGCTGATGCTTAGTAAGTATTTTTTCTGTATGAAATTCATTCTAAGTGCCTTTTTTGTGATTCTTTAACAAAGAGTGACTTGTAAAAATAAAGCCTGCTTAGCATTAGAAATAGAAGTGCAGCAGACGATAAATAGAATGGTTTTGGAGATAATGCCTGTGTGAATTAATCACCAGTGACCTCTCTTTCATCTTTTTGTACGTACTTGTGCAGCAAGGGGATGGTGTTCCAGGGAATAAATCCCAGTTAAGCAGCTTTGCACTTGGGGAGTGACTTAGGCTTCCCGACACAGATGCTACCTGTGCAGGAAGGCCTGCCCGTCCTGAGCTGCCTTCATGCAGCTGCTTTCAAGTTGGTACCATTCTCTGTATAAATTGCTTTGACTTGAAGAAAATGCGTGCTGAGAATAGGGTTTGCTACTTCTGTTAATATTCCTTAATTATATCTATTATTTTCTAGGGGATATAGTGATAAAAGCTGAGTCATTGCAATATGGTGAAAACCTTTCAGATTTTTTGTCTCTTTTTTCCTTTTTTCTTCTTTTCAGTGTCATGTTTCAGTTTTTACCAAGTAGGCTTGCCTTTTATCAAACTTTTTTTCTAGAGTTTCTGCATTTTCTCTTCAAATCCAATTTCAAATCCAATGCAAACGCATTTATTAGAAGCTTGCTGAAAGTGCAAAGCCAACGTTGTCGTTCCTGGGGAGGATTTTTGTTTGCACTTCGCCATACGAGCTCAGTCCCAGCCATATGCAGCGCTCCGTTCCGTGCGTGTTTTTCCCAGGCCATCCCATAAGGTGCTTGCCGGGGGTGTTGGCATCCCAGCCGAGCCTCGCGCACAACCCGCGCCCTGTGCTGCGCTTGGCCGTTCTGCTGCTGAGAATGGGGTGAAGTCTCATAGTCCTGGGTTGCTTAGCCGTTTTCATAATTGCAATAAAGAGAAAACATTTTAGAAGCAGATAGTGTTATAAAACAGTGGATCTTTACAGGAAGGGATGGGGAAAAGTACAGTAACAGAGAACATGTGGAACTCTCGTCACTGACACAATTTTGAGCAATTTCTTTAACTTCCTCACTTGTTTGAAACGCAGCAGTGTGAAATTCCAGCAGAGCACATTTATACCTACAAAAAGAATAATGAAGCTTTTTTTGAGGAAAAACAACTCCCGAGGCAGATCCTTTTTTTAAACCACTTTCCTGCAAGAATTTTCAAAAATGATATCTAGCTGGTTGTAATACAGTTTGAGTTGTCAGGTGTTTAAATATCCTGACCAAGACTGCTGTTGTGTAATCAGCTGACCAAAAGCCAAGCTGCATTTACACAGATGTAATACTGACATTGAAACTGGATCACTTGTGGTGTTTCAAAATGCTTCATTGCAAGAGGCTGTCTTAAGTATTGCACAATCCCTCAGTGTGCCTGTGAGATCATGTATTTGAAAGAGAGAAGATAACAAATTTAGATATTTAACAGATGGAAACCTGGAGTAGCTTGCATTGAGCTCTAGATCCACATACTGAAGAGGAAAGCAATGGGGGAATTGTTGTTTTTCTTTCTTTTTTTGACAGAGGATCGAGAAAGGGAAATGGGGATTTAAGCAGGATTTTTTCTGTCATCCAAAAACCCAATTCTGCCTTCACTTTAAATTTAGTTAACAGTGTGTTTGAAGGATCACTCTTTCTGAGATGGCACCATGTTACCAACAGGCTGCAAGTAAATAAGCAGAGCCAGTTTCTGCTGGGAGCTGGAGCTGCAAGAGAGCAACGTGTGTCCACAGCCCTCCCCGCCGCCAGAAACGGCTGCCTGTCAGAAATCAGTTCAGTGGTAGAATTCTGAAAAAATCTTTAAGTCTTGTTGTCAGCAAAATGTGAAGTGGCTCAGGCGCAATGTTTTGCTTATAAGGAAACAGCTCTCGAGGTCTGCAGTTTGGCAGCAGGACTGCATACAAGGGGTTGGGTTAAATCCATGGGAAACCAAGTCTTTTGCTGTATGTGGGAGAACTTAATTCAGTGTTTGAGAGGTGCATTTGGAGCCTGTGGGAACCTGGGCTTGTTTCTCTCCTGTCAGGCTAGTGTTAGCATCTGTCCCCCAGGAGACACACAGCCGGCTTGGTGCTGTGGGAGGAAACTTTTTTTAGCTGTTTTAAAAATAAGTGGTGCTTGTGGAGAGGTGGTGGTGGTTAGAGATTCCAGCTGATCCATCTTGCAGGAGTGTAGGCGACCTAGGCTGCAGCAGGAGGAAAATTTCCTAAGATATAAATGTGAAATCTTTAAATATCCGCATGTCGTAGAGTTAAAGGTGTTTTCCTCTTCCATCTGAAATGTGAATGGGTGGCGCTCATGCAAGAAGATCCACAGGAAAAAAATGAATAGTTGGCATCAAAGCTTAGATGGAAGATAACAGGCACATTTCTGAAATAGCTCTCTTGTTTCTCAACACTTACTGTTATTTTAAGGAAATAATTTATTAGAATTTACTTTATTAGAATTGTGGTAGCATCTAGGGTTCTTAAGATTAGGGCATGAGTGTGTCAAACACTCAGCAGGACAGGATTAAGAGACCAGTGGGAGGGCACCAAGTGAAAGAATTGTTTGTGAGAAGTGCTGGTTTTTAATAGTTTTTCTGGTATTTTTAGCCAATTTATTGTAAAAGGTGAATGGAAAGCATGGAGGATTCATTAATGGCAGCAGAAAACAACATGGCAGATAAAAGAGGAAGTCAAAAATGGTGTGGGGAAAAGGGGAGAGGGAAGGAAAAACATTCAGATTAATAAGAATATTGAGCTGTTTTATGTCCCAGACCACCTAGCAGAAACTTAATCAGGTAGGTAAATGGCATCTTGCACTGACTCATTTGTTTTCTTAGCAAATTATGAAGGATCGGTGGATGAATGTTGGCCACGAAGAAGAAGAATTAAAGCCATACACTGAGCCTGAACCAGATTTTAATGACACCAAGAGAATAGGTAAGACGAGAATGAGCCATTTGTTGTACATAGCCGATTTTATCTTGCAAGTCCAACTAAATTTTTTTTAAATAAAAACTGAAATACAAGATTACCATAGAAATAAAATCTTTTCTTTTGATTTAAATGAGAAATTGCATTGCAAAGCCCTCATTATAACTGCTGCTGTGATTTCACTGAGCTGATGTGACTGTAGGCGCAGCAAAGGACAACTAAGGTTACAGCATTGAGCGGGCAGAAGGAAACAAATTTTATTATGAGGGTAACAATTTTCTATCTGCCTTGGACAAAGATACTGTAGTGGCTCTGTAGCTACTCACAGTTTCTGTTTGCCAGTGTTTTATGTGCTTATTGAATTCCACGTAATAGATGTTGAGAGTGGTCAGAAGGGTTCACAGCAGTGAAACGGGGAGGTGTGTGGTTTTGCACAGCAAAGATGATGCTAATTCTTTTGCATTTCAATGTTTATGTTTCAAGTTTTGTTTTGTTTTCAGTATTCTTAGATTGTCAGTCATCCCAAATATGTATTCTGCTGATATATCTGCCTCTCCATTTTTAGACATAATGGTCACTATGGGATTTTCAAGAGAGGAAATTCATGAATCTTTAGTAAACCAAAAGTATGATGAGGTTATGGCTACTTACCTGCTTCTAGGTAGAAAACCACCTGAAGTAAGTGCTATCTAATTTACAACTACTGATCTGCTGGGTTGAATATTCTGTATACTTTTTATTAATTAGTTTGTAAAGCTAAAAAATCGGAATTGATAATTTAGTTAGGACTTTCCTTTTTTAATCTTCTGGGATATCTTGTTAGTTTCCATATGAAGGAATAGATTGGATGTAGCATCTATGTTGAACTGTTTATTAAAAAAGCAAGCTCGTAATCTAAAATGGTGTGACTTGTAAGAGCTGAGTCTGCTTCCTGTCAGATTTATAGTTAAATCTGAATTAGTTAAAAATGTAATTAGAGTAAAAACATAACTAGAGCAATTATTCTTCCAAATACTAAGCTGTGACATCCTTTCTGGCTTTCTCATTCATGAACCCATCCTTTCTCACTCATATAGTGTACTATATTTTATTATATATTAAATAAATGCATGATGGTTGTTAGTAGATTTGTGATATAAAGTCTTTCGGCTCTGCTGGAAGGATCTGCAGTTCTTTCAGGGCTATGGGGTTTTTCAAGGAATCAAGGCAGTGCTGTCCTTGTGAAGGGACTTTATTGTCCTACTACTTCCTGGGGCTTTCTTCGTTTCTGAGATAGCATAGCTCAGAAAGTACACCAAAGGATGCTCATATCACACAACCTCTCTGTTGTGGAGAAAGGCCCTCAGAATTCCCCCGTGACTGCACGGCGTGGAGGCAACCTGTCTGAAAGGATTTTGACTCACTCTGCCTGGAAGCAATAGTTGGCTCTTACAGTGCTTTTACTTACCATGCCTGCTGCTTATCCTGTGACTGCAAAGCCAAGGGCCTGGTTGCATGTCTTCTAAAAACTTTTTGAAGGCTATAAAGAATCCTTGAATCATTAGTATCTGCTTTTCTAGCCTCTCTGACTTGGGTTCCAGGTTAATCTGATGCATTTTGGATTTTTTCTGATGCTAGAAATGTTCCTTAAGCTTAAAGAAATTAAATGTTGTTATAAAATTATTCTTTGACTTGAGTTTTAAATAACTAATGTTAATGTTTTTTAAAAAAAATATTTTTTGTTATTGTCAAGATATTGTCTCTAACTTTATTTTGAGCACTCATTAACTTTTTCTTAGTTTTACAATTAATTTTTTTTAAGTGCTTTTGATTGAATTCTCCCCTGTGTTGTGTCATAAAAGCACCAGTAACGTTGCATTTTGCTTAGGCTTTCCAAATGTTCTCCTCGCAGTTTGAAGGAAGCGAGTCCCTGTCCAGCAGCAACCTGAGTCAACGTTCTCGGCCGAGCAGCGACCTCAACAACAGCTCGGCGCCGTCGCCGGCGCACCTGAAGGTGCAGCGCAGCATATCCACGAACCAGAAGCAGCGGCGCTTCAGCGATCACGGTGCGGGGGACGCTCCAGCAAGCAGAGCAGCACGCGCGGTTTGAGGCACAACGTGCAGCGTTTCGTGACCCTGCCCGGTGCACTGCTCTGTGCATTTGTTGTGTATCTCATCATGCGCTGCCGTGGTGCTTTGATCTGTCTGAACGCTTCCGTGGTAAACACGGGCCGGTTCCATACATGATATTAAGCCTATGGATTTCTTACCTGGTTGACTAAGAGCTTTAGGATGCTCCCTGCTTAAGAGGTAGTGGTGAAGTCCTGGTCCAGATAACTCAAAGGCTGTGTTTATACGTAGATTTAGAGTTGGGGTCAAACAGTTGATTTCCTGGGGACCACAATTTTGCCGAGTGTTGAGCCAGCATTTGCAGGTGAAAGTGGGTACATCAAAAAGCACATAACTGAAAAAAATCTTTTTATCTTTTTTTTTTCTTTTGCTCAAAAGAACTATTATATTATTAGAAGTCTTTTAAATTTTGACCCCTCTCTCTGCCTAGGTTCCCATTCTTTCTAATTTTTTTTTCCCCAGTACTTTTCTCCCTTGGTGCTAGTATTTTTTTTTTTTTTTTTTTTTTTTTTTTTTTGGAGTGAGAAGGGGAAGGTCTCTCCTGGTGCATTGAGAAGGTTTTTATAAAGATGTGTACTAAACATGTCTTTCCTTAATATAACACAAATTTCATTGGTTTAAAATGAGAATTAAAAAGCAGCTCTAAGTTTTACATATTGATGTGAAATGGAAACTAATTCTGAACTGCAGATTGATAATGAAGAGAGATAGGGTAAAAAACAGAACGTCCCTGCTGAATTTAAGGGGTTGATACGTGAGCCAAGTTTGCAGCGGTAGCTGTGCAGGTTTGTTGTATTGAAGAAATCATACTTAGAGCATTTTGACCAAGGAAAAGGCAGTGGTTATTTTTAGTAGCATTAATATTGTTTTTCCTTAACAGTGGGGCCATCGATTCCTCCTGCTGTGTCGTACACAAAAAGGGCTCAGGCGAACAGCGTGGAAAGTGAGCAGAAAGAGGACTGGGACAAGGATGCGTCGCGCAAACACGGCAGCACTACGGTGGGATCCAAAGGAGAGATGGCTGCGAGCCCACTTGTGGGTCCAGAAAGAAAGAAGTCAACTGCAGTTCCAAGTGTGAGTGTGTGTGTGTGCTTTGGTTATATTTATTTCTCCTATTTAAACACAGACTGCTGCATAAGATTGCTGTAGGCATACTGAATAAGCCACTAGGAATTATTTCTGGCAACTTTTACTGGCAGACAGAAATAGGCTGCAGTAAATGTATTTTAAAATAAATCGTTCCCTTCCGCCCAAGTTTACTTTTTCTAACACTACCCTAACTGTAAGCACAAGAATGTCTGCACTCAGGAAAACTGAAGATCTGTTGAGACAAATGGTGGATATTTAGAGCAAGAGCATAAGACCAGAGGCAATATAGAGTGCTCTTACTCTATGTGAATCTGTCCGTTTAGCTTTTTTGAAAACACTTGTTTTTTGGGCTTCCATGCCAAGCTGCAGAATTCACAGGATGGTCACAAGCTGTGCACAACCCACTTTGTGCCTTGAGATTTGCTGCTTGGTGATGGTATAAGCTGCAACCTGGTCCTTGCATGAGGAAATGATTAATTTGATTGAATAATTAGGAAATGATAAATTTTTCTATTACCACATAATTCATACTTTTGTAAACCCCTAGCATACTGCTGCCTTGCCCCCTCTCCTCCCCCCCCCCTTTTTTCTCCAGATAGAAGAGTCCCTCTCTTTTTACGTGGAAATCTGTGGAAGTTCGTGTATACTAATATCAGTTTTAAGGACACACAATGCAAAAATATTGTGTGGTGTCAGAGCAGAAATGTAAACTAGCCAGGAGCATGACTCACGTGGAGAGAAAAAGAAAGATTTGTAATGTGCATAAATCATAATCTAGAATAAGACACAAGTAACTTCTTGTTTTGAGACAAGCTGTATTAAATACAGAAGTACCTGCCACCTTTTACTGCAGTAAGCAGAGAGCAGGAATTTTCATTGCCTTTTGGATTCTAGTTGCTGGTTCCCATCTTGGACTCTGAGAAGGCAACACACATTTCTACTAGAATTCTTTTAAATAAAATATCCTGAAGTTCATTTAACTTTAAGATTCTGCAGATGGTATCTGTCGTACATCCTGAGATGCTCTAAACAGAGAAGGTCCCATCAATATTAATTGCTAGGAGCATAATTTGCTGTAAATTGGTACGAGGTGTTATATCAGAACTCTCCAGTTGTGCATCGTAAGGTGGAGCCTGGCTAACACGGGTCCATTGAATTTTTCATCTCAATTTAGTAAACCTGTTCGACAGGGGGCAGCAGACTGTAAGGCTGGGGCTCTAGTGGCCAACATCATCTGCACAAGAAAGCATTTAAGGTAGCCAGGGATATTTGTTCTTTGGGACTCCAGCAGGTATTTAGTTTCTGTAGTTCTTGATCCCAGACTCAAATAATTCAGTGGGAGTTGTATAATGCTTTGTAAAGCAAATGTCAGCAAGGAATAGCTGATGATGCAACTGGTTTGTGTCAGCAGATATAACCTAGTACATGTGAGGACATGTATGTGGTTATAGGAAGAATGTGCATAAATTGCTGAAATTCTGTTTTGATTTGCTTTTCGTACTTTCATTTTTGTGCAACCTCTATATAGTAGAAGACTTGGTTTTATACTTAAGTTTGTCTTAACTTTCTTCTAGAGCAATGTATTTTCTGGTACTGGAATGACAAGGAGGAACACCTATGTTTGTGAACGGTCTTCAGATCGCTATTCCGCAATACAGAATGGGAAGGACAGCAGGTATTCTTCAGCTTCCTCACTTACTAATTTGGGTATAAGGAAGGAGCAATACTTGGCATGGGTTATGCAATTCGTACAATTACCACAGTACAATGAAGCATGTAACATCTTGACTGCTTGTTTTCATCTTAACTTCTGTGGAAGTTTCTCTTGCCGCTTTCATCCCTTCTTTGCCACTTGGCCTAATCAGAAATAAAAATACTGATGGAAATAGCTATCATGACAGGGCAGGTGCAGCCTAGGATGGCTGGAATAGAGGAAGGTTGCTCAAAATAAATCCGCTGGGAGCAGAGAGGCCCATTTTGGCCCCCTTGGGAAGGCCCCTCGGGCCCTGCTCCATGGCTCTGGGGAAGGAGCCTTCCCCGGCGCACGGGCAGGATCCTGTTGGTGCCGTCGGCAGCGCAGGGAGGCGGCTGCACAGGCTCTGCCCGACTTCTAAACATTAAGAAGTAAGTTCCTGAGGGAGCTTTTTTATGCCCTTCAACATTTTATTTTACTTTCAAAACCCATCAGACGCAGGTGGAGTTTTTGGTCATAATTTGCCTGGAGGGCTTTCATCTCTTGAAAAAATATCCAGCATGGCAGACAGTTACTAATAACCTTAGCTTTTTTCAGATAGCAGGGCTATGATTGTTGGAAGCATTTTATGGCCTATTGACATTCCCTAGGATAACTGGGGATGTTTTTTTGAAAACGAATACAACTTTCACATGCTAAAAAAGTGTGTAGTAGTCATGTAATAAGTTACAAGCAATTCCACATGGATCATGTTCTAGGACGCTGCCATGACAGCAGAAGTGGTTGGAAATGTAGGCATGAGACTGGCCATGTTGTGTTCATGTCTTTAATGATCTCTAATAATACCTGTAATTATTCAGTGGCTGAAGACATTTGGAAGTACTTGGTCAGAATCAAGGAGATTTTTTCACTCTCCTGGACAAATTTTCATCATTTAGAGAAAGATTAAAAATTGGCGAGTTTGGATAGGATAAACACGTTGGACAGGGGAAGATATAGTTGAGAACAGGTTTTGTGCCTACTGAGGGGGTGCTGCAGGTCACCTTCTCTTGTGTAGCTTGAGGCTTTCTGATGAAGCTACCCTTCCCTTAATCCACTATGCAGGACTAGAAAGGAGAAGCACAGCTTGGTCCTTTTTTTAAAAGCAAGACTGCTTTCAAGCAAAAATATGTCTCCAGTTCCCTTTTTTTTTTTTTTTTTTTTTTTTTTTTTTTTGGTTTTAAATTTTTAAAAAAAAAAAATTTTTTTTTTTTTTTGGTGTTCAAGTTCTAAAAGAAAATAGATTTTCTTTTTGTCAAGCTAATATTGCTATTTAATCCATATTTTAAGCCTTCTGCGATTTTTTTTTCCTGTGTTTATGACCATTTTCACATAGTCTTTCTTCAGTACTTTGAGTACTTCAGGTTAGCTTCAGCCTTGGGAGGAATGAAAGAACCTGATTTAACATATGCAGTGATCTGACTTACGGTTTCTGAAGTACAAGAGCAACTATGAAACGCTTCTCCCACGGTTATGTATTTCTGACTCTGCTGAGAGGCAGCCTTGTCACTCGGCTTCCTGGCTGCTTGTGAAATGCCATCTTTGTGGGTTGATGGTGTTTAAACGGTACTCTCCATGTTCTAAAATAAAAAATGAGTAATCGCCTTTTTCATTTTGCTTTTCCTGTTTGTCTCTTAATTTGGAGGGGGTAAAAGGAGGGTAAAACTCTTGATACCCACTCTGCACACCTTGTTTGAAGCTTTGTGCTTCTTGACAGATATTTTCTATCTTGAGATGAATTTCTGTTAAGATGCAGTTAATACTGCATTTATGCATACTAAACCAAGATGCTACATTTAATACAGCAAAAAGTAACTGAACTGCTTTTCTATAACAGTGATTGCCTGTGTTTATTGGTTTTAAAAGGCCTGTGTAAGTGTAACTGATTTTTGAGAGAGGCCAAGCAACCGGCATCCTTGAATGAGATAATGCTATGACAACACACAAATCATGCATACAGCTTTAGAATAACTTGGATTTGTATTTCGTTTGCACGCAACTCATAACCCAGCAGCTCTCGCTCAGGAGTTGATTTAAAACCTAAAGTGAAGCCACCTAGGATTTTATACCACCTCTTTGGTTTGTTGAGGCTGCTGCCTTTAAATAAGTAATCCTGTTTCTCCCTCCCTCTTTCCTTTGCCTTGGCCCGCCTGCCTTGCCGGCGCGGTAAAAGCCTCACAGAGATGTCTGCGAGCAGCACGTCCTCCGCGGGCCCCGCGGTGCCTTCTGCGGTGTCGGCCCGGCCGCGACACCAGAAGTCCATGTCTGCCTCCGGGCATCCCATAAAGGTTACCCTGCCGACCATCAAAGATGGCACTGAAGCTTACCGACCAAGGTATTGGCTTGCTTGCCATGTCTTTAACGCTTTAGGTTTGAAAAATGTTTCTGTTCAGTTCGTGGCGTATTGCAGCGTGTTTGCCTTCTATTCACAAGCGTCCTGTTGCGTTCGGTTCTGACACAGTAGCTGACTCGAGGAATGTCTGCATCACCAATGCACACACAACCACCTGATACAGGCCTCCAAAGGTTTCAGCTGGATAGAAAAATGCTTAACATGTTGCTTTTGGAGATTGTTAGGCTCGCTTTGTCTAAATATGCCATCCTGTAGCTGCTCACACACTCAACTGCTCAAGTAACTTTATGAATTCATTTTTGTTAGCTGATTTCTTCATAGGAAATTTTAGCAGTTGCCTGTGTGTTAAAAGCTTTTACACAACTTTCAGAAAGAGGGCTGGGAACACTTTCAGCTCTTACTAGCTGCATTCTTTGCTTTTTCTTTTCTCCTGTTATCTGTGTATTTTTTTAACTAGTCTTTACACTTCCTTTTTTCTTCTTCCTTTTTTTTTCTTCCGTCTTTGAGAAACGATTGTCACGTAGGAGTGTTTCTAGCGTAGCCTTTCCCTTTATTTATGCCTCTCTCTTCCCGGCAGTGCAACTCCAAGAGTGCCTGCTGCTTCCCCCTCTGCTCACAGTATTAGCACTACCACTCCAGACCGAACCCGCTTTCCTCGGGGGAGTTCGAGCCGAAGCACTTTCCACGGTGAGCAGCTTCGGGAGCGGCGAAACGCCACGTACAACGGGCCGCCCGCCTCGCCCTCCCACGAGACCGGGGCCTTTGCACACGCCAGAAGAGGGACGTCCACTGGTATAATAAGCAAGATAACTTCCAAGTTTGTCCGCAGGTTGGTACCTCTGGATTTTGTAGGGACGCAAAAAAGCCCAGCCTATAAATAGGGCGGTAATTGCAACATCACCGAGAGTTAGCAGTTTGCCCATCCGAAGTAAATGTGAATTTAGTTTTTGTGTGTTCCTTCCAAAATCTGCTTTTACTTCTCTGTGTGTTTTGTAAGCCTTCACATTTGTTCAGCTATTCCCCTGTATCTTAAGAGCAAGAGAATGATATTCAAGTTTTCTTTGTTTTTTTATTTGTGTTAATGCTTTATTATTGAGAAACAAAGATATTATTTTTAAGCTCAAATCAAATGATTTTAAGTATTGAAAGCAAGTCATTATTAAATGCTAAGAATATTTTACTACTTACGATCCACTGCTGAGTGAGATGCACATGAGTGCATTTGTTGCAAGGGCTCTTTTTATAGCAGTTTTACTCCTGTGCTTAGATGGAATTTGAGTTTGCAAATTATTGTAGAGAACTTTAAACTATAGATACAAATGAGAAGCTTAGAAATGGACACAAATCTGAATGTCTGGAAATCTTAATATTTCAGTATTATGCAGCTACTCATGTAGCTTCTTTAAAAGTAAGTTTTTGATTCTGAAAGAAGAGGATGTGTGAATTTGGTGGAGTTTCCTGGAGCTGCCATCATTCCTGTGATGATAGTGGCAGTAATATTAACATGAGGAGAGATGCTGGAAAAGAATTTCAAATAAACTGTTTAATTCCAAGCGACTGATTTTAGCAGTCCTAAGTCTCTCTTTGGGAAAGCTCCTAAGTTATTCGCCTGTCTCTAACAGTAATATACTTATAGCTCCCAAGTGTGGTCTTTTCTGCATTGTTGTCAATTTTGCAACAGAATTGACATCTTGGATTTGACATTGAAATCTTGAATATCTCTCTTTGCAGAATTATACCATTGTGGTCTGAAATTTGTAATTTGTGTGTAAAAGAAGGGTAAATTCAAAGTGTCTTCAATTTGAGACTTCCTAATTCAAGCTAGTAGTTGCAGATTCCTAAATGCAGTGTGATTAATTGCTTAAGGTGATCTTCCAGGGGAAAAGAGGAGAAAAGCTAGGAATTCAGTCATGTTGTTCATAAAATTACTTTTGCTTGCAATACAAGTAGTGTGTTAATCAATGTGTGCTAGTCGTGTCTGTTATGATAACAAAGAAAAAGTACATGAATGGTTTTCCTTTTTCAGAAACCTGAAGATAGAGGAATATGATCCTTCATTTTTGGCATTTCCAGCACTCGAATAATGTCAAGGGGAGGAGGGGAGTCTGTAGTTAGTCAGCTGAGTTATTAAGATAGATTTTTCAAGAAGTAAGAGGTGTGTTTGCTGCTAAGTAATGAAGCAGTTTCAAGAGCACAGGCTGTTTTTTTGTTGTTTTGTTTCCTTTCTTTATTGTTTGTGTGTTTGTTTTCCCATTTTAACTCATTGTTGTCTTCCAGGGAATGGTGCCTTAACTTTTTTAAGGTAGATTGAAGAATCAGTGTTTTTAAGTGAACTCTGTAATTATAACTAACAAACGGTAAACTGTGTTGTCTTTTGATTAAGATAATTTTTATTATAGAAGTTATTTATAAAGCTTACTCAAATATTTTTATAGTGCTATAAAAAGAAGAGTACATTTCCTGTAGCAAAAATGAGTTCCAAAGAGCCTTAGGTTTAATAAATAAATAAATAAATCCTTTTTTTAATTGTTGGGATTACACAGACTAAAGTTTTTGGGATTTTTTTTTGTTGTTCTTTAAACTGGCATCACCTAACTGCATGCCCCTCTCACTTCTGTACTTCTCAGTAAATCATGTTTTAAAATATATTTTGATTAGAAGATGTCATGAAATACTTTTTTTTTTGACAAGGGTAAATGCCTTTTCTGGTAAGTATATAAAATAAATACATAGTGGGAATATTTAATTTATAGGCTATAGGGGTATTTTGTATCAATGATTCATGTCAAATGCTACTTCTGTGATGTTACTATTCATGTTCAGAAGGCATTAAGTTAATGAAATAATAGAAATTATGTACTAAAATGCTTGTCCTGCAGCACTAGGGATGTACCTAAGTGGCTTATACAGTCCGTGGTATTTTCTAAAAAGGCAGGATGCAAAATAGTTCCCTTATAAATGACCGCTGTAATTCAACGAGATGAACAAGCATAACATTTAACTTGTAGCTCATCCATAACCTTACTGCACTCAGTGCAACATCTGAACTGCTTAAAGCTACGCAGATGTTGAAGGAACCTTTCTGAAGTGGCCTCCAAAAATCTGGCGTGGCAAGTGCCCCCCGCCAGCCCGAGGGGCTGCGGCTGCTCCGGCTTCACACGGCCTGAGGAGAAATGCTCAGTAGCTCCATGGCAGATGGAAAGGTGCTAAGGTGTCATAAAGAGGAGGTAATTACAGCTGTGAAAAATAATCATGCAGTATTAGACTTAACATTATTATGTTTAGGGGTTTTTTGTTCAGTAGTTATTTATCATTTGTTCTAGATATAGGTTTTCTTAACTTTTATTTTAACTTTTATCATTGAATCTCAACCTTAACTTTGTTTTGAGGGATCCAAGTGAAGGTGAAGCCAGTGGCAGAACTGACACCTCAAGGTGAGGAGCCACTATTAATACTTCGCTCCTAGGTCCTTTGCATCAAGGTTTAAGTGATTTCTTAAAGGCTTTTAATCAAAATGTAAAATAGCATAGTGCTTAAATATCTGCATTTAAAAGATGGTGTGGATGTGGGGGAAGGGGGTTTTGGTGAGGTCCTTCAACCATCGCTTTTTATATTGAATACTTTGCAGAAAAACGAACTCTTTACACACATTCCTCTGAATAATAATGCCCACTTTGGATTAAACCAATCCTTTAGGCACTTCTTTAAAACCATGTTTTGGCTTATGAGCATTTCATGTTGTTTACTTTAGGTTTCAGTGCAAATGTAACATCCTTTGTGTGTCTGTGTGTACGTATGAAACTTTTTACTGTAGTCACAAACTGTGTTCATTACTAAAGGTGCTGTTTGCCACAAGTGAACACCCTGTTGTAGCACCTGAGAAATGAATGTCCCTTTGCACAGAGAAAAAAAATAAGTGACATTCAGACAAAAAGGGTGGTGACTGCTAAATGCTGACTCTGTATGGCAGCCACTGGACACAAATGTCTTACAAGCAATGAAGCACTCCTTCATGTGCTCATTTTTTTTTGTATATCTGCTCTTTTTGGAATGTTTCAACATTTGATCCTGTTTTTGGTATGCTTAGTACAGAGCATAACCTCTTGTGCTACCTGGTGAGCACACACTGTAGCTCGCTGCATTCTCAACTGGTCCCTTACCAAAAGTATTGGCCTAATGCTCAAAAACAGAGCCCACTAAGTCTTGTAAATCTTTGTTTCAAAAAGCAGCACACTTCTAAACAGGATATGTTGTCCCATACACAGTGCCTGTTATCTGCATTAGCCCTTTTCTATGCAAGGTCCGTTAGCTGTTGAATTCTTGACTTGGGGATTAAAAAAAGAGATTAATCAGATCTTCAAATAAAATTAAGTGTGAAGTTGCTTACAGCTCTTGCTTTCATTCTCTAGCTTACTCTACTTCCTACCATTCTACATTGCCTGTTTGGGGCTGAAAGTTTTTTCAAGATCTTGCCCTCTCATGCTCTATCCCTCAATATTGATGTAGTTCTCTGGGGTTCACAGTGAAACTTAAATGTAAAATGTTTGTTTTGGCTCCTCTCTGAATAGTGGCAGTGTATGCAGGCTGTACCAAAACGAGAACAGCACCTTTCTCCCCCTGAAGGGAGGGGGAGGCATCAGGCATCTCAAGTACCTGGGACAAGAAGACAAAAGTTGACTGTGGAATCACTTTAAATTCTAAAACAACGAGTGCTGTTGCTCAAAATCCTTTTTCAACAAAGGAATGAGTAATCTGGTTCATAAAGAAGCTTTGCTTTATAGCACTGACATTCCCTGGAAATTATTTACTTGGGATTTTGTCCAAGTCGCTTTATCAACTTTGTGGCTACATGTCACTGTTCTCTGAAGAATCCGCTGGCTGTGGACTTTGCTGGCAGACAAACAAGCTCTTCAGCACCAAAATAATCGCAGGGCAAAATTCAGCTTCCCCTTTTAGGATAAGGCCTGTTGTTAAAAGGTCTCTTTACACAGAGAGAGGTCAAAGATACATAATGAGTGAAGGGGGATTACCTGGAGGCTTCTGAAGCGCAGGGCGGGGTTCCTTCCTTTGCTGCTTTTCCAGCATAATTTACGCTTTGGGACTATGTCGCTCAACTTCAGTTTTGTTGGTGTATGGCATGCTCCAGGTCATGAAATCAGCGGAACTTCAGTCATGCTTTTACATAGATTCCACTTTCTTTGGAGCAGTGCGACGTGTGTGTCTGTAGTTACCATTGCATATGTGGCCATCAGCGTTTCCGAGCAGGGGTTTCCAAACTCGGCCGGCTTGTTGCCACCATGGGGCATGGGCAGCAGCTCCCGCTGCTGTGCCCACTTGCACGCGAGTGCAGAAGATGGCACACGGTTTTTCCCAAAGTATCCCTTCAGCACTTCGCCTTGGCTTACGGAAGCCTAGTGTGGTTTGGAAACCCCTGCTTGAGAACTCTACTGCTCTTCTAGCTCCGGATCTTAGTGCCTTTATATTTGACCGCTCTGTCTGTCACCTCTTCTAGGAGCGCTTCCGGAGAGCCCAAAGAAAGAGAAAAGGAGGACAGCAAAGATTCGAAGCCCCGCTCCTTGAGGTTCACGTGGAGTATGAAAACCACTAGTTCTATGGACCCTAACGACATGATGAGAGAGATCCGGAAAGTGTTAGACGCCAATA